TGGTGTGTGGTGGCTGGTGTGTGGTGGTGTGTGTGTGATGGTGTGTGTGGTGTGTGGTGGTGGTGTGTGGTGGTGGTGTGGTGGTGTGTGGTGTGTGGTGGTGGTGTGTGGAGGTGGTGTGTGGTGGCGGTGTGTGGTGGCGGTGTGTGGTGGCGGTGTGTGTTGGTGGTATTGTATTTAGGTATCCCCAAAGGGATACCTTTAATTGGTTGCCTGATTTTGTTTCTTTCTTTTCTTTATTAGTTGAGAATGCCTCATCAGATTGGTTTGAAATTTGTTAACGTTGGTTTAATGTCCGGGGGAGAAGGGATTATGCAGCTGCTGACTCGTGCAGGTGTGGTCAAAGTCACAGCACAGCAGAGTCAATGCCTGATCAGTCAGGCTATGGTTCGTACATTGGACTATGTGCGGCCAGCAGTAACAGCCTCATTGATCAGACCCTGATCCACCAGGAGGCCTGTTCATGGACCAGGTCGCGGGTTTTTGATCCCCGGAATACCCTCCAGGTAGACAGACAGCTGCTTCCTGAAATATCGTTTCCGATATGAGGAAGTCTCTTCTGATCAGGAATAACAGGAAAAGTTGGTAGATGGATCTATATTTTCCTCATAAACAGAACACAAAGAGTAGTAGTCAACAGAGTAAAGTCTGAGGCGGCTACGGTGAAAAGCTCTCTTCCGCAAGGCGCAGTACTCGCCCCATCTTGTTTCTCATCCTCATATCTGACATAGACAAGGATGTCAGCCACAGCACCGTGTCTTCCTTTGCAGATGACACCCGAATCTGCATGACAGCGTCTTCCATTGCAGACACTGCAAGGCTCCAGGCGGACATCAACCAAATCTTCTAATGGGCTGCAGAAAACAATATGAAGTTCAACGATGAGAAATTTCAATTACTCCAATATGGTAAACCTGAGGAAATTAAAACTTCATCAGAATACAAAACAAATTCCAGCCACAAAACAGAGCGAAAAATCAACGTTAAAGACCTGGGAGTGATCATGTCGGAGGATCTCACCTTCAAGGACCATAACATTGTATCAATCGCATCTGCTAGAAAAATGGCAGGATGGATAATGAGAACCTTCAAAACTAGGGATGCCAAGCCCATGATGACACTCTTCAGGTCACTTGTTATCTAGGCTGGAATATTGCTGCACACTAACAGCACCTTTCAAGGCAGGTGAAATTGCTGACCTATAAAATGTACAGAGAACCTTCACGGCGCGCATAACGGAGATAAAACACCTCAATTACTGGGAGCGCTTGAGGTTCCTGAACCTGTACTCCCTGGAAGGCAGGCGGGAGAGATACATGATTATATACACCTGGAAAATCCTAGAGAGACTAGTACCGAACTTGAACACGAAAATCACTCATAACGAAAGCAAAAGATTCGGCAGACGATGCAACATCCCCCAATGAAAAGCAGGGGCGTCACTAGCACGTTAAGAGACAACACAAGTGTCAAAGGCCCGAGACTGTTCAACTGCCTCCCAGCATACATAAGGGGGATTACCAATAGACTCTCTGGCTGTCTTCAAGCAGGCACTGGACAAGCACCTAAAGTAGGTACCTGACCAGCCGGGCTATGATTCGTACGTTGAATTGCGTGCAGCTAGCAGTAACAGCCAGGTTGATCAGGCCCTGATCCACCATGAGGCCTGGTCACAGACAGGGTCGCAGGGGCGTTGACCCCCGGAACTCTCTCCAGGTAAACTCCAGGAATATAAGAGTTTCCTAATTCTAAGAAAGTTTGGAATGTTACTGGAATATGTACCTAACATTTTTTTTCCAATTATTTTTAACATTGTCTCATATTACGATAAACAAAAGTGAGTAGACATCTTGTAAAGAACTTCGGAAATCCCGACTTGATGCATCATTCACACACTGGTACTCGCTGAGGCTTTTCCCGTAGGTGAAAATTTGTCATTATGCTAAAATAGTTTAAAAAATGAAATCGATGTGATCTCCGTGATGATTGGAAATGTCAATTTCTAACAGGTTTGCAACTCTTAGCGCTGATGTGTTTTGTTGCAGGCAAGAATCGTGGTGCAACTGTCCTGCAGTGGACACAATTTGCAAATTTTATTAAACAAATGGTAATATTGAACTGTCATTGTAATATTGACTTAGACCGAACACAAGTAACACTTGTAAATGGTCCAAGTTGGACCGATAGGTCGTCGTAAGCTTCTCTCTTCTATATGCGGGTTATTTGTGTATTGTCAGCAGTCGTCTACGACATTGTCACGGAGCTCCTTGTTGTGGTATTCTGAAGCGACCAATTGTAGTAGTATTTTGTCAGGGTATCGTCAGGGTCCAAGGAATCGTCAGTGTCCAGGGTATCGTTAGGGTCCAGAGTATCGTCAGTGTCCAGGGTATCGCCACGGTCCAGATTACCGTCAGGGTCCAGAGTATTGTCAGTGTCCAGAGTATCATCAGGGCCCAGAGTATCGTCAGGGTTCAGAGTATCGTCAGGGTCCAGAGTATCATCAGGGTCCAGAGTATCGTCAGGGTTCAGAGTATCGTCAGGGTCCAGAGTATCATCAGGGCCCAGAGTATCGTCAGGGTCCAGAGCATCGTCAGGGTCCAGAATATCATCAGGGTCCAGAGTATCATCAGGGTCCAGAGTATCATCAGGGTCCAGAGTATCATCAGGGTCCAGAGTATCGTCAGGGTCCAGAATATCGTCAGGGTCCAGAATATCACCAGGGTCCAGAATATCGTCAGGGTCCAGAGTATCATCAGGGTCCAGAGTATCATCAGGGTCCAGAGTATCATCAGGGTCAGAGTATCGTCAGGGTCCAGGATATCATCAGGGTCCAGAACTAGAACTGAGTATACTACAAACTCCAATCACACAATAGAGGGGAAAAGTAATGTGAAGGACCTGGGTGTGGTAAAGTCCCAAGACCTCACCTTCAAGGACCACAACAATGCCACTATCACATCTGCTAGGAAACTGATAGGATGGATAATGAGAACATTCAAGACAAGTGATGCTAAGCCAATGATGATCCTTTTTAAATCACTTATTCTCTCTAGGCTGGAATACTGCTGTACATTAACATCTCCATTCAAGGCAGGTGAAATTGCAGAACTAGAGAATGTACAGAGAACCTTTACTGCACGTATAAGTTCCATCAAACAACTTAACTACTGGGAGCGCCTGGAAGCACTTGACTTGTACTCACTAGAGCGCAGGCGAGAGAGATATATCATAATCTACACCTGGAAGATTCTGGAGGGACTGGTCCCTAATATGCACACAGCAATCACTCCATACGAAAGCGTATGTTACAGGCGATGCAACATACCCCCAGTGAAAGTAGGGGAGTCACTGGTACACTAAGATAAAACACAATAAGTGTCCGGGGCCCAAGACTGTTCAACAGCCTCCCACCAGCAATAAGGGGCATTACGGGAAGACCCCTGGTTGTCTTCAACAGGGAGCTGGACAGATACCTAAAGACGGTGCCGGATCAGACGGGCTGTGGTTCGTACGTTGGATTACGTGCGGCCAGCAGTAACAGCCTCGTTGATCAGGCCCTGGTCCACCGGGAGGCCTGGTCGTGGACCGGGCCGCGGGGACGTTGATCCCTGGAATGCCCTCCAGGTAGGTAGGTAGGTAGGTAGGTAGAGTATCGTCAGGGTCCAGAGAATCGTCAGGGGTCCAGAATATCATCAGGGTCCAGAGTGTTATTAGGGCCCAGAGTATCATCAGGGCCCAGAGTATCATCAGGGTCCAGGGTGTCGTCAGGGTCCAGGGTGTCGTCAGGGTCCAGAGTATCAACAGGGTCCAGAGTATCATCAGGGTCCAGAGTATCGTCAGGGTCCAGTGTGTCGTCAGGGTCCAGGATGTCGTCAGGGTCCAGAGTATCATCAGAGTCCAGAGCATCATCAGGGTCCAGAGTATCGTCAGGGTCCAGAGTATCGTCAGGGTCCAGAGTATCATCAGGGTCCAGAGTATCATCATGGTCAAGAGTATCATCAGGGTCCAGAGTATCGTCAGGGCCCAGGGTGTCGTCAGGGTCCAGGGTGTCGTCAGGGTTCAGAGTGTCGTCAGGGTCCAGAGTATCAACAGGGTCCAGAGCATATCATCAGGGCCCAGAGTATCAACAGGGTCCAGAGTATCATCAGGGTCCAGAGTATCATCAGGGTCCAGAGTATCGTCAGGGCCCAGGGTGCCGTCAGGGTCCAGGGTGTCGTCAGGGTCCAGGGTGTCGTCAGGGTCCAGAGTATCAACAGGGTCCAGAGTGTCATCAGGGCTCAGAGTATTAACAGGGTCCAGAGTATCATCAGGGTCCAGAGTATCATCAGGGTCCAGGGTGTCGTCAGGGCCCAGGGTGTCGTCAGGGTCCAGGGTGTCGTCAGGGTCCAGGGTGTCGTCAGGGCCCAGGGTGTCGTCAGGGTCCAGGGTGTCGTCAGGGCCCAGGGTGTCGTCAGGGTCCAGGGTGTCGTCAGGGTCCAGGGTATCGTCAGGGTCCAGAGTATCATCAGGGTCCAGAGTATCGTCAGGGTCCAGGGTATCGTCAGGGTCCAGAGTATCATCAGGGTCCAGGATATACGATGTTGTTTATGTTATTGTGTGAACAAAGACGTAGAAAATATTGGTTCACAATTTGATTCAGTTTCCATTATTAACAAGTTGTTATAAGTTAAGTTGTTATGAGTTATGGGTGAGTTAAGAGTTGGGTTTAAGTTGTTATAAGTTAAGTTGTTATAAGTTAAGTTGTTATAAGTTAAGTTGTTATAAGTTAGGTGTAAGTGGAAAAGTTTTTACCCTCAGATTTTAGTTTTATTTTCATTCAAGAATTGTTTATGATAAGTTTTAAATTTTCTATTTTTCTTCCATCTCCTGATTTAAACATTGGTTTAGTGTGTCCGGTCATAATACCACCCTCTCTCTCTCTCTCTCTCTCTCTTTCTCTCTCTCTCTCTCTCTCAAGTTATGTGTCTTGTAGTAATTGTTGGTTTATTTTGTATATACAGGTCAGGGCCGCGTCAACCAGCTGGGCGGAGTCTTCATCAATGGTCGGCCGCTTCCCAACCACATACGTCTCAAGATCGTGGAGATGGCAGCGGCGGGCGTGCGTCCCTGCGTCATCTCCCGTCAGCTGCGCGTCTCCCACGGCTGCGTCTCCAAGATTCTCAACCGCTACCAGGAAACCGGTTCCATCAGGCCGGGCGTCATCGGCGGCTCCAAGCCCAAGGTAACCACCCCAGATGTGGAGAAAAGGATTGACGACTACAAGAAAGAGAATCCGGGAGTGTTTTCGTGGGAGATCAGAGACAGACTCGTCAAGGTAAACACCATAATTCAGAAGACTTTCCATCAGAGTCATAGTTTCTAAGAGAATCTAAACGTAAATAATAGATGCTAGATTAATTTTTATGATTATCTTTTGTTTTGCTCAAGATAGACACCACTGAATGTCCTCAGCTCTGATAGGTGGAAGTTCCTAGTCAGAGGTGCTCTCTCTGGGGCGACACACTTCCACACATCCTATTAAAAGAACGTGTCTTTATTAACAAAAGTGAAATGAAAAAGAAATTACTTAGTTTCTGTGCCACAACGATGCTTTTTCTTTGTGTGTCTGTCATAAGAGTTCACTCCTTGTTTACTTGCTCACTATTGCATCAAGATAACACTTTTCCCGTTCACTTGTTTACTTGGTCACTACTGCATCAAGTTAACACTATTTCCGTTCACTTGTTTACTTGGCAACTATTGCATCAAGATAACACTCCTCCCGTTCACTTGTTTACTTGGCAACTATTGCATCAAGATAACACTCCTCCCGTTCACTTGTTTACTTGGTCACTATTGCATCAAGATAACACTTTTCCCGTTCACTTGTTTACTTGGTCACTACTGCATCAAGTTAACACTATTTCCGTTCACTTGTTTACTTGGCAACTATTGCATCAAGATAACACTCCTCCCGTTCACTTGTTTACTTGGCAACTATTGCATCAAGATAACACTCCTCCCGTTCACTTGTTTACTTGGCAACTATTGCATCAAGATAACACTCCTCCCGTTCACTTGTTTACTTGGTCACTATTGCATCAAGATAACACTCCTCCCGTTCACTTGTTTACTTGGTGACTATTGCATCAAGATAACACTCCTCCCGTTCAGTTGTTTACTTGGTCACTATTGTATCAAGATAACACTCTTCCCGTTCACTTGTTTACTTGGTTATTATTGCATCAAGATAACACTCCTCCGGTTCACTTGTTTACTTGATCACTATTTCATCAAAATAACACTCCTCCTGTTTACTTGTTTACTTGGTCACTATTACATCATGATAACATTTTTCCTGCTCACTTGTTTGCTTGATCTTTGTTGCACCAAGATAACATTGTTCCCGCTCGCTTGTTTGCTTGGTCTATGTTGCACCAAGATAACATTCTTCCTGCTCACTTGTTTGCTTGGTTCATGTTGCACCAAGATAACATTCTTCCTGCTTAGTTGTTTGCTTGGTCTATGTTGCACCAAGGTAACATTCTTCCTACTTAGTTGTTTGCTTGGTCTATGTTGCACCAAAATAACATTCTTCCCGCTCACTTGTTTGCATGGTCTATGTTGCACCAAGATAACATTCTTCCCGCTCACTTGTTTGCTTGGTCTATGTTGCACCAAAATAACATTCTTCCCGCTCACTTGTTTGCTTGGTCTATGTTGCACCAAAATAACATTCTTCCCGCTCACTTGTTTGCATGGTCTATGTTGCACCAAGGTAACATTCTTCCTACTTAGTTGTTTGCTTGGTCTATGTTGCACCAAGGTAACATTCTTCCTACTTAGTTGTTTGCTTGGTCTATGTTCCACCAAAATAACATTCTTCCCGCTCACTTGTTTGCTTGGTCTATGTTCCACCAAAATAACATTCTTCCCGCTCACTTGTTTGCTTGGTCTATGTTGCACCAAAATAACATTCTTCCCGCTCACTTGTTTGCATGGTCTATGTTGCACCAAGATATTCTTCCCGCTCACTTGTAACATTCTTCCCGCTCATTTGTTTGCTTGGTTTATGTTGCACCAAGATAACATTCTTCTCCCTCACTTGTTTGCTTGGTCTATGTTGCACGAAGATAACATTCTTCCCGCTCACTTGTTTGCTTCGTCTATGTTGCACCAAGATAACATTTTTCCTACTTAGTTGTTTGGTTGGTCTATGTTGCACCCAGATAACATTCTTCCCGCTCACTTGTTTGCTTGGTCTATGTTGCACCAAGATAACATTCTTCCCACTCATTTGTTTGCTTGATCTATGTTGCATCAAGATAACATTCTTCCCGCTCACTTGTTTGCTTGGTCTATTTTGCACCAAGATAACATTTTTCCCGCTCACTTGTTTGCTTGGTTGTTGTTGCACCAAGATAACATTCTTCCCGTTTACTTGTTTACTTGGTTGTTTTTGCACCAAGATAACATTCTTCCCGTTTACTTGTTTACTTGGTTGTTTTTGCACCAAGATAACATTCTTCCCGTTTACTTGTTTACTTTGTTGTTGTTGCACCAAGATAACATTCTTCCCGCTCACTTGTAATTGTTTGGTTGTTGTTGCACCAAGATAACATTTTTCCCCCGCTCACTTGTAATTGTTTGGTTGTTGTTCCCACCAAGATAATTCTTCCCGCTCACTTGTAATTGTTTGGTTGTTGTTGCACCAAGATAACATTCTTCCCGCTCACTTGTAATTGTTTGGTTGTTGTTGCACCAAGATAACATTCTTCCCGCTCACTTGTAATTGTTTGGTTGTTGTTGCACCAAGATAACATTCTTCCCGCTCACTTGTAATTGTAATTGTTTGGTTGTTGTTGCACCAAGACAACATTCTTCCCGCTCACTTGTAATTGTTTGGTTGTTGTTGCACCAAGATAACATTCTTCCCGCTCACTTGTAATTGTTTGGTTGTTGTTGCACCAAGATAACATTCTTCCCGCTCACTTGTAATTGTTTGGTTGTTGTTGCACCAAGATAACATTCTTCCCGCTCACTTGTAATTGTTGGTTTTGTTGCACCAAAAATAACATTCTTCCCGCTCACTTGTAATTGTTTGGTTTTTGTTGCACCAAAAATAAACATTCTTCCCGCTCACTTGTAATTGTTGGTTGTTGTTGCACCAAGATAACATTCTTCCCGCTCACTTGTAATTGTTTGGTTGTTGTTGCACCAAGATAACATTCTTCCGCTCACTTGTAATTGTTTTGGTTGTTGTTGCACCAAGATAACATTCTTCCCGCTCACTTGTAATTGTTTGGTGTTGTTGCCCCAAGACAACATTCTTCCCGCTCACTTGTAATTGTTTGGTTGTTGTTGCACCAAGATAACATTCTTCCCGCTCACTTGTAATTGTTTGGTTGTTGTTGCACCAAGATAACATTCTTCCGCTCACTTGTAATTGTTTGGTTGTTGTTGCACCAAGATAAATTCTTCCCGCTCACTTGTTATTGTTTGGTGGTTGTTGCACCAAGATAACATTCTTCCCGCTCACTTATAATTGTTTGGTTGTTGTTGCACCAAGATAACATTCTTCCCGCTCACTTGTTTTGTTTGGTTTTTTTGCACCAAGATAACATTCTTCCCGCTCACTTGTAATTGTTTGGTTGTTGTTGCACCAAGATAACATTCTTCCCGCTCACTTGTAATTGTTTGGTTGTTGTTGCACCAAGATAACATTCTTCCCGCTCACTTGTAATTGTTTGGTGTTGTTGCACAAGATAACATTCTTCCCGCTCACTTGTTTTGTTTGGTGTTGTTGCACCAAGATAACATTTTTTCCCGCTCACTTATTTGTTTGGTTGTTGTTGCACCAAGATAACATTTTTCCCGCTCACTTTATAATTGTTTGTTTTTGTTGCACCAAGATAACATTCTTCCCGTTCACTTGTATTGTTTGGTTGTTTTTGCACCAAGATAACATTCTTCCCGCTCACTTGTAATTGTTTGGTTGTTGTTGCACCAAGATAACATTCTTCCCGCTCACTTGTAATTGTTTGGTTGTTGTTGCACCAAGATAACATTCTTCCCGCTCTTTGTTTCTGCCATTTTTTTCATTAACTTATGTTAAACTAACTTAATTTAAAATAAAGTACGTATGCTAGTCATGCTAACTTCCATACAGCGAAAAATAACTTCGTGGCATAGAGACGAAGCTGCCTCTTCAGCACTAGTCAGTGAACTTAAGCCGGTGAGAGAATTGGACCTGCCTCGCATAGGCCAGTAGGCCTGTTGCAATGTTCCTTCTTTCTTATGTTCTTATGTTCAAGGTTAAGCCAAAGGTTGTCCTCGTCTCCACACCCTCTCCCTCATTCCTTCTTTATTTAAATAGGAAATTTGGAAATTTGTTTTCATTCTCAACTTAACTGTTTTAGTTGTTAGAGGAACAAATTACAAATACCCGACATAAACATTGATCAAGAAAACACTGAGATGTTTGTCACTGTTTCTGAGCTGCTATATTATGACACGTGACCCAGTGACTGAGTATCGTGCTTGAGAGTACCGTGTTTGAGAGTACAGTGCTTGACAGTACACTGTTTGAGAGTACAGTGCTTGACAGTACAGTGCTTGACAGTACAGTGCTTGACAGTACAGTGCTTGACAGTACAGTGCTTAAGAGTACAATGCCTGAGAGTACAGTACTTGACAGTGCAGTGCTTGACAGTACAGTGCTTGACAGTACAGTGCTTGACAGTACAGTACTTGACAGTACAGTGCTTGACAGTACAGTGCTTGACAGTACAGTGCTTAAGAGTACAATGCCTGAGAGTACAGTACTTGACAGTACAGTGCTTGAGAATACACTGCTTGACAGTACAGCACTTGAGAGTACAGCGCTTGAGAGTACAGTGCTTGAGAGTACAGTGCTTGAGAATACAGTGCTTCAGATGACAGTGCTTGAGAGCACAGTACTTGACAGTGCAGTGCTTGAGAGGACAGTGCTTGAGAGTACAGTACTTGACAGTACAGTGCTTGAGAGGACAGTGCTTGAGAGTACACTGCTTGACAGTACAGCGCTTGAGAGTACAGTGCTTGAGAGTACAGCGCTTGAGAGTACAGTGCTTGAGAGGACAGTGCTTGAGAGTACAGTGCTTGACAGTACAGCGCTTGACAGTACAATGTTTGAGAGTACAGTGATTGAGAGTACAGCGCTTGAGAGAACAGTGCTTGAGAGTACAGTGCTTGAGAGTACAGTGATTGAGAGTACAGTGCTTGAGAGAGTACGCGCTTAAGGGAGTACAGTGCTTGAGAGAGTACGTGCTTGAGATAGTACGTGCTTGAGGGAGTACGTGCTTGAGAGAAAAACACTTGAGAGTACAGTGCTTTTGAGTAGAA